GTCAATAAATGACTATTTTCCCCACCATATACAGCTGAAGGGATGAGTCTGAGCTGAGACAAGCGGAAAGGAGAGTTGGGTGGGGAGAATGAGTCTTGGTGGAGTTCAGTGAAGGGGTCCATCCCTGAGGCCCTGGTCCCTGTAGCTTTACCCTTAATTATGCTTCCTTCCCAGACATGAAACAAATGAAAAAATGCCTCTTTTTATGCCTAATCCAGTTGAGCTGAGCTTTTGTCATTTGCCACCAAAAGACCCTAATATACTGCCTTGATCCTTCAGGCTGGGCCAAGCAGAGCCCCTGGGCTTGCTTGTGCCTCCTCCATCCCAGACCCCACCCTCTGCCTGTACTGCCCCAATCCCAGCCCAATTGCCCAGAACCATCCATCTGTCTGAGCTCCAGAAGAGCAGGGCTGGGGGCTGTCTTGGCCTCTGCTGTGTCTCCAGTGTCCAGCACAGGCCAGGCTCACAGCAGTTGCTCAAACATTCCCCTGGGATGATACCATGCCCTCTCTCACCTGGGGTACCTGTTCCTTAGCTCTGAAACTCTCAATTTTCAAAAACAAGCAAGTCATTGGCATTGACAAATGCTTTTCTATTAACAGGGAAGGAGAGTGAACGGGTGTCATTCAAAGGGCCAGACCAGGGACCACGAGAGTCCTGAACATGCTGGTGTGTGGATGCCAAGTTCGCAGGTGGGCATTTCTGCTTTCACTTTGAAGATAAGCACATTCTATGCCAAAGCTGGGGTCTCCACAGAAATCAGGCCACATACGTCCCTGCTGAAAACACTCCTATGGCAACGTAACTCCACTCTCCGCCTCTGCCTTCACACGGCCATCTTCCCTCCGTCTCTCTGTGTCCACATGGTGTTCTCCTCTCCGTGTGTCTCTTTATCTCTTCTCTTTTTATAAGAACACCAGTCATATTAGACGAGGGCCAAACCTGAAGCTTGACCTCATGTTAACAGATAACATCTTCAAAGACCCTATTTCCAAATGAGGTCACATTCACAGGGGGTCAGGACTTCAACAGATCTTTGTGGAGAATACAATTCAATCCTTAACAATAACTATGGTAGTTAAGGTTGTGTGTCAACTTGGCTGGACCTGGTTTTGAGTGGCTGGACAGCTGGATAGGAGCTCTGGTGGTGTACTGCCTAATGCATTTGACTGCTAACCAGAAGGCTGGTGGTTCAAAACCATCAGCTACTCCTCGGAAGGAAAGTTAGGCAATCTACTTCCATAGTGATTCTGCCTTGGAAACCCAAGGAGGGGTCGCTATGAGTTGGATCCGACTCAACGGCAGTGTGTCGGGTAGCTGGATGTAGTTATTCCCCATGATGTAATGATGATAATCAACTCCATGGTGGAAGCTACTGGAGCAGCTGAATAGCTGCCTTAGGGATGTGGTCTGCTTCCAGTAGATAAGAAGAAGCGTTGAGGAAGGTGTCTAGCTTTTGGCATGCTTGGACTCAGCATGTAGCTGAGTCTTCATTCAGCAGCCTGCCAGTCTTGGGACTTTCTCTGCACTTGAACTAGTGGGCTGACATGTTGTTTGGTAATTTTGCAACTGTGTCGTTTTATTTGTCAACCTTGGGTTTGTCAGCCTCAGCACCCAGGAGCTGGCTGAGTTAAGTGACACCTCTAGCTTCAGTGGGCAGGGAGCAAGAGGCAGAGCTGAAGCCCGAGGTCAAGGGACTTTTACCCAGCCTCTAGAGCTGGCACTTTGAACTCAGACTTTTAGCCTCCTAAACTGTCAGAGAATAAACTCCTGTTTGTTGAAGCCATCCATATTTCTGTTAGAGCCATACTCATTGTCACGGAGGTGATTCTGACTCACAGCGACCCCCGTTGGACTTCTGAGGCATTAAATCTTTACACAAGTAGATTGCCACATCTTCCTTCCACACAGTGGCTGGTGGGTTTGAACTACCAACCTTCTGGTTAGCAAGTAAGTACTTTAGGCACTATGCCACCAGAGCAGCACTAGAAAACCAAAACAGCACCCTTGGCTTCCCACAGCTCGGAGAATAAAACCTCTCCTCATCACGGCCCACAAAGCTCGGCAGAATGTGCCTGTCCCATCTCCTCTCTCTCATACAAGCACCCACTTCTCCCTCAGGGCCTTTGTACTCACTGTTCCCTTTGCCTACAATGCTTTTCCCTGGCTCCTCCCACAGTAGATTTCTTCAGTTCCAACACCACTCAGCTCGCCCTAAACTAAAGCAGGCCTGTCTGCCATTCCCTGCCTGCTCACCCTGTTCTCATTCTTAGCATGGCACTTAGTGACCATTAGACAACTCTTTCTTACTTGTTTACTGTCTCTCCCTCTAGACCATAAGCTCCATGGGACAGGATTTTCTTATTTTGTTTTTGTTCGTTTGCCTATTTTGTTCATTGCTGTGTCCTCCACACAGGGCTGGGTACAAAAGCCATGCTCAATATATCTTTTTCAAGTGAATCAGAGATAGAAGATTTGTAGGCAGACAGCTTACCTACGTGACTCTGTGGGTAACTGGCTGTATGATCTTGGCCAAGCTACTTAACCTCTCTGAGCTTTAGTTTCCTCATCCGGAAAATTGGGTCTACACACTACACGTGGCTGTTGCAGGGTTTAAATTCGACCGTGCTTATCTGAGTAACTCCCATCTCGTGAGCACCATGTGCCAGGCAGCACCGTGTGCCAAGTGCCGGGTTGCCTGCTCTGTCTTTGTGTATCGGGGAGGGTTTGTGAGCACAGCGCCTGGTGTGTGGGAAGCCCTCAGTCCCCAAGAGTGGAGAGTCGTGATGACTGAGCCGAGCGTGGCAGGGCCACTGGGTGAGGGAGCCTCCTGGCCTGCGATTCTGCTGCCTCTGTCCTGCTGCTTCCCACCTTGTCTGCCCAGATCCAACCCCCTCCCTTCCTGCTCTCTGTTTCTATTTCGGTCTTTCTCTCCTCTTCCCCAGGCCTCAGGGGGCCCCTGGCTGGCAGGAAGCCTTCCTCCTTCCTCCATCCCCAGGATCAGAAAGGAGCTTCCATGGCGAGGCCCTGCAAGGGCTGGGGTGCCGCTTTACCCAGCCTCTCGGGAGAAATTCCCATACCCACCCACCCTCTGTGGCCCAGAAGACCCTGTCCTCACCTAGGATCTCTGAGAGTCTCCACCTGACTCATCCAAACACTGAGCTCTCCGTCATTGTCTTCCCACCAGGCAGACTTTGGGTAGTATTTGAGTAGGGTCACTGAAGCCATTCCCAGCCTCCAGACAGAGACCCCAAACACAATACAGCATAGTGGTGAGGAAGAGATCTGGCAAAGCTCTGCTGTGTACTCACTGGGCAATATAGTCACCAGCCGTGGGGCAAGTGACTTCAGCACTCTCTGGCCGAGACTTAGCTCTGTTAAATGGGATCATGGGTATCTACCTTACAGTTGTCGGATCTCAGTGACACGAGCTGTGCTGACCACAATACCTGTGTGTGACAGGAACATTCAAAAACTGTTTCCAAAGACCACAACTCACTGCCGGTCAGTCTGTTCCGACTCATAAGTGACCCTTCCTTGGGTTTCCAAGGTGGTGTCTCTACGGAAGTAGATTACACAGTCTTCTGATGAGTGGCTGGTGGGTTTGAACCGCCAGCCTTCTGGTTAGCAGCCACCAAAGCTCCTCAAAACCTATTTAGCAGCAGAGTATTAAGAGGTTAAGTGTCCAGACTCAGAAGCCACGCTAAACCCCAAACCAAACCCATTGCCATCAGATTCCAACTCATAGTGACCCTATACAATGGAGCAGAACAGGCCCAAAGGCTGTCCAAGGCTGTGATCCTTACTGCCACGCACTGTCCCATCTTTCTCTCCCAGAGCAGATGGCAGTTTCAAACCACCAGCCTTTTGATTAAGAGCCCAGCTGCTTAACCAGCCTGCTATCTGGGCTCCTTAAAAGTCCCACCACCTTCTGTGTAACCTTGGGCATGCTAATTAACTTTCCTGGACCTCAATTTGCTCACCTGTCAAACAGGGTAACTCGTACCTTCTAGGGTTGTTTTGAGGATTAAATTTTTAAGACGGAAAGTGCTTGGAACAGTGCTTGGCACATAGTAAGCAGTAAGTGTTATTATAATTTTATTTTTATTATTCTCCCATCTCTCAAGAGATAGGAGGAGCCTGTCTGCCAGTGTCCCAGGCCATCCTTCCTGCAGCCTCACTTACATTCCTTATGCTGCAATCTAGGTCACCTTCCCCCAACCCCCAAGACACACACGGACACACACAGAGGTCACGCAGAGCGGCCTCAGACACAGAAAAAAGTTTAATTCTGCTGCGGCGTTGGGTCCCGGCTCCGGTAGGGAGAGGGATTTGGTTTTGGATTTTGTTCGTGTGGGGATTTATTTGGGGTTCGAGGAGAGAATAAGGGAGAGTCTGGTCCTTCCAGTGGGCCCTGCCCGGGAGACTGTGTAGTGTGGAGGGGAAATCCCGGAGACAGGGAGCCCGGACAGGAAAAAAAAAAAAAAAAAAGGGAGGACAGCGGGCGAAGAGACGACGACGGACAGAGAAAAGGGAGACAAACTGGAAAGGACAGAGACAAACGAGAGGATCAGAGGAAGGGGGACCCCAAGCCAGACCCGACGGGACCAAGGAGAGGTTGAGGGTTGGGGGCTTTGGAGGCGACGCGGGACAGAATAGGATCTAGTCCAGCCAGATACAAGAAATGGGCCCCTCGTCCCTGCCCCGGGTCCCGGGCGGGGGGGAGGGGGCTCGTGTCTCAGTGCTGCAGTGTTGGGGGGGCCCTGCCCCTCCCCGCGCTTCGCTGTGTAAGGCACCGGCTCCAGCAAGGTCCGCGAGCGCGCGCGGGGGGAGGGGCAGGAGGGCGCGTGGGAGGGGAGCCCAGCGGCCCGCCCCCTTCCCCAGGGCGCGGGGGCGTGGCTTGAGCCGCAGCCCGCCACCGCCCCGCCCCCTCCCGGGAAAAGGAGGGCGCGTCGGTGTCTCAGCCGACGTCTTTGCGCTGCCTCTCCCCCTGTGTCCTGCTCCGGCACCCAGGCGTCCCGGCGCCTGCCCGCCGCTCACACGGTACTCTCCAGCATCCATTCGGTGCTGGTAAAGGCCAGGCGCGCCCTAGCGGAGCCCAGCCCCAGGTCTCCGTCCTCCCCGGCCGCGCCCGCTCCGGCCCCGTCCAGGTGCGGCGTGGACCGGTGGCGCTTTGTCCGCCGGGCGCGGCGCGGGTAACTGTGGCTCTGGAAGAGCGCCCCATAGTCCCCGTCGAACGAATAGCGCTGCTGCGGCCTCGGCCGGGCCGAGGCTCCCCCAGGAACCAGAGCCAGCGTGGGGGGTGCAGAAGTCGGCGGCCCCAGCGCCCCGGAACGGCTTCTCCGTGGGCCAGAGGCAGCCTGAGGCTCTTCCCCAGAGGTCTCCTCAGATGGCAGCAGACACAGCGAGGTGGCAGAGCCGCCCAGAGAGCGTCCAAGGACCGCTTCCGATTCCGTCGAGGCCGCCTCCACCGCCGCACCCTTAGCCTCAACGGCTACTGCGGCAGCAGCTGGGGACACCACCTCTCGCAGCGCCTCGTAGCGGTCTTGCGTCGGAGGGGGCGGGGCCTGAGAGGCGCCTGCGCCGTTGGTCTGCGAGCACACGTGGCTGACGCGTGGAGGCGACCTGGAGGTACCCTTAACACGGCGGCCATCCCCATCACCATAGACTTTGTAGCGGATCATGAGCAGAACAATGAAGACGAGGACTGAGGCGACGATGACGCCCCCAATGGCGATGATCATGGTGCCGCCCAGGAAATGAGCCCGCAGGGGGCGGCAGGGCGCCGGGTCCCCAGCGGTGGTGAATTGCACACAGCCCACCACGCGCGTGGCCGGCAGCGCCGTGGCCCCGTCGTCGTAGACAGCCAGCACGCACAGGTCATAGGCACGGCCCGCTGCCAGATCATTCACCAGGAAGGTCTGGCTGGTGGACGGGATCATCCTGCGGGAGAAGAGGGGATGATGGAGTGATTAGCCCTCACTCTGGACCTTGCTCATGCATTTCCATGCCCCACCCATGGTGGCCGGTGCTCGGTGGAGACCAAACCCCTACCTGTGTCTCACCCCTTACTGGGACAAAACCATGTTCAAGCCCCTCATCAACCCGTTCCCACCCTTTGAGAACCATTGCTATAGGCCACGCTCTTTTGTGTGCATGCCCTCCCCCCCTTCTGTTAGGCCTTCTGGCTCTTTCACCACCTACCGGGACTCTAACTGCCATCCCTATTCACTCATCTGCATATTCTAGCTCCTGTAAAGGGCTTGTCCTGTAGGCTACATCCCTTGATTTTATACCCTGCCTTCAAGAGACCTGGCCCCTAAGGGTATCTCATCCCCCTACTAGGGCTGCTGTCAGTCAAGCACCCTCAGCTATATATTTCCATGCCTCAGGGGACTGCCTCTACAGGCCACTCCCCCTTATCAGCATGGCCCACCCTCAGGCTGCTGGGTAGCTCCCACAGGAGCAATGGGCATGTTCTTCCTTGGTTTCCACATATTCCTGCCTGCCCTTTGGAAGGAAGCAGGCCCCAATTTTGGATTACCAAGTTGGGTCCATCGCCTACGGGATCAATTTCCAAGCCACTCATCTACATGTTCCCACCTTTTAAGGTACCAGTGCTATAAACCATACCCCTCCAAGCCACAATCCCCGTGACCCAATCCGATGGGTCCTTGCAGTGCCCAGGACCTTGTCCAGCCTTTGCATGCTCTGCTCCTTGTCCAGCTGTTAGAGGCAGCCAGCCCTCCTGTCCCTGTGCGGCCAGCAGTCCCTGAACCACGTCGCTCCCCTGCTCTAGGCCCCTCCCTCCAAGTGCAGAGCAATGCAGAAAAGTGCTTCAGCTGCCAGACTGCCTAGTTCTGAATCTCTCCGCTATAATTTAACTAGTTCTGTGACCTTCAGCAAGTTTCTTAATCTCTCTGTGCATCGGTTTCCCCAGGTGGGAATAATGAGAGTTCCCACATCATAGAAATGGTGTGGGGATTGAATGAGTTAACATATATCCAAACCAGGCACTCAGTGATTTCAACATTGTTAGGTGATACTTCATCTCACACTCCACTGTCAGTTACAGCTTCCCATCTGTAAGACCCACCCTCTAGAGCGACTAGGCCTTGCCCCCCCAGTGTGCACATCCTTTGCACACTATCTTCACAGATCTAAGTGACCACGTCTATATCAGGATTGCTATAAACCCCCCCCAAAAAAAAAACTCACTGCCATCAAGTAGATTCCAACTCATAGCGACCCACACTGGGTTTCTGAGGCTCAGTCTTTACAGAAGTAGATCGCCCTATCTTCTTCCGCAGAGCAGCTGGTGGGTTTGAACCACTGACCTTCTGGTTAGTAGCCAGATGCCTTATCCACTAGGCCACCAGAGCTCCTTAGGACTGCTATGTTACGTGTTGTTATGTGCCATAGAGTCAGACCCGACTCATAGTGAACCCTGCTCGGGTTTCCGAGGCGATTATCACTACGGAAGTAGATGGCCCATCTTCCTTCTGAGGAGTGGCTGGTGGGTTTGAACCACCAGCCTTCTGGTTAGCAGTCAAGTGCTTTAGGCACTACACCACCAGAGCTCCTCAGGACTGCTGTGGCCCCACCAATTTGCATGCCAGCACTCAGTCTCACCTTGTTCTCCTCCAACAAAGCCCACTATTTTTGAGGAAATGGGCTGCCACCAGGCAGAGCAAGCCCCACCTCCTCTCAAGGCCACACCCCCATCTGCACAGGCCTTCTTACTTCTCAGAAGATTTACCTTCCCTTCTAGCAGGGCCACTGCTGGTCCTGAAGCCCCACCCATTACCCCACCTCCAGGAGCTTCTTCCACTACCAAGAGCCACCCTCCATCCAACTGAAAGACCTGAAGTAAGGGCCCACCCACTTTTCCACTCTGCCCCTGGCTGCCATTCCACAGACTCACAGCCCGGTTCCAACCATCCTTGCCTCCCCCGGCTTGGAGTCTTCTTCCTCTCCCTCACCTGCCCTCTCAGGTTGCCCTGGATTCCTCTTGCTGCCTCTTCCAAAATAACCAGTTGCTAAGGGGGCTCTCTCCTTTTCAAGGACAGAGACTGGCTCCTTAAGAGGCCTGAGCCCTTGTGCCTCTAATTGGCCGCAAGGCCCAAGCAAGCAGCTGAGCAGGCTTCTGATTCGTTGTCACCTCCACCCATGGCAGCAGTGAGTATGTTAACTCCTGCAGCGCCACAGCACAGACCTCTGCAAGGGAGGCTGGAGAACTGAAACTGTGGCCCTCAGGGGAAAGGAAGACTCCCAGGCTCTCCTGCCCAGCTGGGGGTGGGGAGCTATGAACAGCTGCAACATCTGGGGACCTGTGAGCATCCCTCCTCCTCCCCTCCCCCCTATGGTGGCCATAGGTCAGAGAGAGAAGGAAAATGAGAAACAGAGAAGCAGACAGTTACCGAAACCAAGAATTCTTTCCAGAGGTATCATCCATCTCCCCTCCATCCCTGCCTGGCAAATAGTAGGTGCTCAATAAATGTGTCTTCAGTGTAAAAAGGGCAGGATTAAGAGCTGGAAGGACAAGCTGTGGAATGCTGGCTGTGCTACTTACCCTGTGACCTTGGGCAGAGGGTTTCACAGCAGAGCTTCAGTTTCCCTGGCTGTAAAATGGGGTGGGGGGAGGGAATGATCTCTGCTTCATAGCAGAGTCAGGAAAACCCAATGGGGTAGCATTCCTTGGGAGGAAGTATCTTGTCAAGGTTTTTGTTTTGTTCTGCTGTTTATAAGAGCAGGCCAGTGTCCATAAGGCCACACACAGGATCTGGCACACAGTAGGCGTTTACTCCATGTGTGATGACCAGAATCAAAAAGGGGAGAGAGAGAAGGGGAATGAGACATTTCTTCAGTCAGCCAACAATGGGAGAGCACCTACTATGTGCCAGGCATGTAGCCAAGCAAGCACTGGGAAAGGTGGAGCTAGAGGTGACCAGGAGACAAGGTCCTTCCCAAAGGTAAGGAAATGGGTTGGCCCCTCTGGCACCCCCAAGTGAACTCAGGCACAGGGCTAGGTACTCAGCAGGCACTCAGCAATGTGCACGAGGGAAGCAGAGCCAGGGAGGAGATGTGGCCATGCTGCCACACTCGGCAAGTGCCTACTGGGCGCCAGCTCCATGGCCTAGAGCGGTACTCAGAAAATACTCAGATAGCAACACAGAGCTAGGCCAAGACAACAGTTCATTCTGTAACTCAAGCCTCCTTCCACTGGGCTGCAGGCTCACTGAAGGCAAGGGCTGGGTCTCCTTTGGTCTCTCTGTGGCCCCAGCACCCAGCTCAGGGCCTGGGATGGAGCAGGGGGTCAGTGACTAATGAGGGCAGGAATGAGAGGACAGACAGAAACAGAGGCCAAGGAAAGAGAAGAACAGAGCTGACAGGAGGCAGTAACTGCTGCCTGTCTACACTACATAGGTCTGTCCACACCAAGGCAATGGCTTCCAACCCAGTGCAGTTCTCATACGTCTTGTTGTCTGTTTCTATCATATATCCAGTGGGTCAGTACAGTGGCACTGGTACATGATTTAGAAACATATAACATAACAAAATAGAGACAGTCCCCAAATTATGGATGAGTTCTGTTCCTGAGTCTAAGTTGAATGTGTACATGAGTCAAAACACTTACATAGGGTTTGTATCTAATGTCAGTTAGTCAAATCTTGTCTTAGTATATAGAGTAACTTTTTATGCATAAAAAACATTAAAGAAACACTTCCAGAGACACTAAAACATCTTTAACATAATAATGTGGTAGTAATGAGAATTTTTGAGGCACATCGCAAAGAAGCGTCTGTTGGTTATCATGAGCCACTAAATGTACCTCAAATTTTTCATATAATAAATCAGCTTTATGGGAGCTGGTTCGTAACTGTAGATTTTATGTCAATCAGACATTTGTAACTCGGTGACTGCCTGTGTGCCAATATGATTGACTGACAGGGTGGACAACCAAACCCCTTTAGTGAGCAGAGGTGAAGCCCATGAGCCCAGAAGAGCACAGATCATGCCTGGCTGTTCACTGTTATGATCACACCAGTGCCCAGCCCTGGTCCGGCTCGTGTAAGTGCTGCATGCATATTTGCTGAATGACTGAGAAACAGAAAAGAGACAGAAATAGAGGGAGCTCTGGTAGCATAGTGGCTAAGACACTTGCCTGCTAACCAGACGGCTGGCGGTTCAAACCCACCAGCCACTCCTCGGAAGGAAGGTTGGGCAATCCTACTTCTGTAGTGATCCTGCCTCGGAAACCCAAGGAGGGGTCGCTATGAGTCTGGTTTGACTCGACGGCACATAACAACAACAACAACAACAACAAGCAAGTGATGGGGAAAATCAGGACCTTGGACAACTCTCTGTGGCCATCTGGAACCCTGGTTTAGCAAGGAGGCTCCCCTGAGCTCGGCAAGAGGTCCTGGGACCGCACACCCACCTGTAAACGAGGGAATCATCGGCAGAGCTGTTGTACTGGACCTGGTACATGCGGATGCCAGGCACGGGCCTCTGGGCTGGCCAGCGGATGAGCACAGAGTTCGAGGTAAGCTCAGCAGCCACGAGGCGGCGCTCAGCTGAGTCATTGGCACCAGGCCGGCCAGGTGTGGCGATGTCAGAGGAGCCTGGCTCAGTCAGAGGGGGCGGGGCAGCTGGAGGGGGTGCCATCAGTGGCAGGGGCACCACGCACACCTCCACGGGTGCCGTGGCTTCCCCGGCGGCATTGGAGGCGATGCACGTGAAAGTGCCACTGTCCCGCAAGGTGGTGATGGTGACATCCAGCGTCCCGTCCCCCCGGACCCGGGTCCGGCTTGAGTTCCCCAGCAGCCGCCCATCAGGTGCCACCCAGTGCACCACCGGCTCAGGGTCCCCAACGGCCCGGCACCGCAGGCTGACCGCCTGGCCCTCTACCACCAAGGCCCGGCCTCCTGCCTGCCGTGTGATCAGCGGGGGTTCGCACAGGAACTCCTCCTCAGGGATAGACCAGAAGTAGCGGTCAGTGAGGTGCTCAGGGGTGGCACAGGTCTCTAGGTCATCCTCCCGGGTCAGCCGCCGCAGCCACAGCAGCTCACAGTTACAATGCAAGGGGTTGCCCCCAAAGCTGACGGTCAGTGGTGTGGGTGGCTTTGGGCCCGTGCCTTGGGATCTCAGGAAAAGCCCGTCAGGCGGGAGTTTATGGAGACGGTTGGAGGTCATGTCAAGGCGGACCAGTTTGTGGAGCTGCACGAAGGTACCTTCGGCAATGTGATCAATAAGGTTGTGGTCCAGTGTGAGGGTGTTCAGGTTGACCATCTGGCCAACTGCCTCCCATGGCAGGGCCTCTAGGTTGTTGTAGGACAGATCCAGGTCCTCCACAGTGGACAGGAAGGCGTCAAAAGCAGCCGACTCCACCCGGCGGATCTGGTTGTTGCCCAGGATCAGGTGGCGGAGGTTGCCCAAGCCGCGGAGCTGGTCGCCTCGCACCTCTGCCAAGCGGTTGCTGTCGAGATGCAGGGCACGGAGGGCCCGGAGGTCGGCGAAGGCACCGGCTGCCACCTGGCCAATGGTGTTCCGGGAAAGGGTGAGGTGCACCAGGCTGGTCATGTTGGCGAAGTCACGGCGGCGGACGGCTGCGATGAAGTTGTCCGTGAGTCGCAGCTCCACGACGCGCCGGTCAATGGCCGGGGGCACAAAGAGCAGGCCCGTCTTGGCGCACAGCATGGTCAGCGTGGGCGCCACGTTCTGGCAGATGCAGCGGCCGGGGCAGGGCTGCCCGCGAGATGCCCCTGCCCAGAGCAGAAGCAGAAAGGGCAAGGTGGCAGGTGGCGGCGAGAGGAGCGCCGAAGAGAAGTGGCCTGGAGCCATGGTGCAGCGGGCAGGACAGGGGAGTGGGAGAAGAGACCTGTAAGGGAGGAGACAGGTTACCCAGGCAGGAGCACGGCCACCAGCCTCCCCACCGGAATGTCCTGCTAAAAGTCTGACCTGGATCCCTCCTTTCCTGAGGACTGGGTCATACAGGACAGTGACGGGCCTGATAATCAACCACCAGGCATTAACCATTTATAGATTCCATATCTATGAGCATATGCTGGTTGATAAACTGCCACTGCTCTACCCCTGAGCACCCTACCTCCAGGAGCCCCCCAGACCCTCCAGTGATCCCCCACCAGAGGGGTAACACTAGCCCAGCACAGTCCCTCCAGTACCCACTAGATACTCTGCAAACTCACTGCCAGCTAGAGTTCAAGGCCATGGTTTCCAAAGGCATACTAAACCAAAAACCCAAACCCGTTGCCACTGAGTCAATTCTAACTCATAGTGACCCCCCAGGACAGAGTAGAACCTCCCATAGTGTTTCTGAGGCTGTAATCTTTACAAGAGCAGCCACCTTTCTCCTTCAGTGCCCAGTGGATTTGAATTACCAACCTTCCAGTTAAGAGCCAAGCATTTAACTGCCACACCACCGAGGCTCCTTAAAGCCCTACTCCCTGGGTTCAAATGCTAGCTCTAACACTTACTAGCTGTGTGACCTCGGGCAAGTGTCTGAAGCTCTCTGAATCTCGGTTTCTTCATCTGTAAAATGGAGACAGAAACAGGCCTTAACCTCTGTGAGGATTAAAGGGCTTAATAATACAGCATACACGGAACAGGGCCTGGCACGTAAAACGTGCTCATCCATGCTGCCTATTTGACCGTCATCACGGAACATGCACCAAATATGGCATTGTGCAGTTACAAAGAACAAGTGCGAAATCAAACAGACCCAGTTCAAATCCTGGTCACCAGTTGCTAGCTCTGTGATCCCCCAAACCAACGATTTCCTGACTTATAAAATGGGAATGCTAATGGCACCATCTTCACTGGGTTGGTATAAGGATTCAGTGAGCTCATTCATGGGACCCACTGAACACAGGGCTGGGCTCGCAGTAATCACTTGATAAATGTTCGGGTGCCCCCCACTTTGGCAGTGGCAGAGAGAAACTGAAGGTGGGAGGGGCTGAGAAGACCCCACCAGAGTCTCCCTGCTCTGCTTTGGGAAGTCCTGCTCTGAGCCTGGTTTTGCCCTGGACTCTGCTGCGCTTCTAAGCAAGGGGCAGACTTTTATGCTCACGCTGGTGGGCATATGCAAGGCCTCCCACTCTCAGACACAGGCACCCATGCCTGCATGTGCACGCACACACAACACACACACACAGAGACATACATACACGCACACCCTGCTGTGCCTCTGCTCCAGGCAAAACCTTCCGGTGGGGATTCCCCCTGCGGCGGCTACAGCCCACGACGTGTCAACTCCCATCACAACATGGGGTGGGCGGGGAGGGGGGTGAAGAAGAATGGATGGGAAGGGGGCGTCCCCTGAAACTCTTTTCACCCGTCCCACCCCGTGCCCCAGCCCCTGCTGGCCCACCTGCCAGCCATCTGTGGTTTGGGCTGTGGCCTGAGGTGGTCCTCACTCTCCTGCCCATAAGGAGGGGGATGGAGGCCGTGGAGAGGGGAGACCAAGAGAGGCAGGGAGAGAGGTAAAGTGAGATGGGGAGAAGCAAGAGGAGGAAGAGATGGACTGGTAGAGAGACAGAGAGACAAGTAAAAAGAGTTTGGAAGAACAGTGAAGAGACAGAGTAAGCCTGAGAAGAGAGGAAAACAGTGAAGAAAGAAACAAGACGAAGAGAGAGAGACAGGAGGAAAGAGAGTTCCACAGAGAGACAAAAAGAGACGGAAGAAGAAAGACACGGGCAGCCCCTGGGCAGGAGGAAAACAGGCAGGCAGGGCACCCACCACCTCTCATCCCCAGCCTTAATGCATCTCTCACTCCCCCCAGGACACTGTTCTGCAGCCCTCCTGGGGTAGGAGCCCTGACCGTGAACTATGGCGTCTCTGGGGCTCAGCACCACAATCTATGAGAGGGGGGTAGAGCCTCACCTCCCACAGAAAGAGTCAGTTTGAAGGACTCTAGACCAGGTTGCCTGGGTTCACACCCCACTTCCCTGCTGTGGGACCACAGGCAAGGCGAGACTGCCCCTCTTTGGCCCTCAGTGTCCCCATATGGAAAATGGGGAGAATGGCAGTGCCTACCTACTAGGGCTGTTGTGAGGATAAGTTAGTACACCAGCATGCTTACGGCAGTTCGGGAGTACACACTGCATACATGCTATCTGCTGTTACGCCTATCACCATCATTTATTATCTGCTCTAGTTTGCGCTCAGCCACCAGCAGGTCCGACTATAAGGAGATCTTCCCAAATACAGGCACATACGTGCACAAAATGATAAACCATGCCCATTCAGCTCTCCACATGCAGGGGTCATTTCATGTCATGACACCCTCTTGAATCCTTTACTGATAACATGAGATCACGGGAAACCCCACCACTGGCCCCCAAGGCCTCTCAGCCATCTACGCCCTGAATCTACACCAGGAGCCCTCAGCCAACCATGATGCTCCTGACCTTGGCACCACCCCCAGTCTGAGGCACACCTGGTCCTCAGGACACTGCCATACCATACCTCAAACTAAAAGGCATGCTAGACCAGGCTTCCAACCTGCTCAGAACAAGCCAATTACCCCACAGTTCTCCCAGCCTGAGGCCCCACTCACCTCTCTTCAGGAAGTCAGGGCCTGGGCCAATACCTGCAAAGGAATAAAATGACCCTGTTAGCACCCTTCAGGCTCTTCTCTGGGGATCAGGTCCTGCCGTGGAGGCCAGCTCAGAAAGGAAGTCCCCGGTGTGGTCCCTCACTCAGCCTACCTGCAGCAGGCTCTGCACAGCCTCACAGGGACCCAGGGGATCGCCTCTGGACACCCAGGGGCTCTGGGCCTCAGGACTATTCACCCACCCGAACCCAGAAGTCCAGAACTCTGTCTGTCTGTCCTCTGAGTTCTCAGGAGCCCAAGGACCCTACCTCCCACTTCAGACCCAGGAGTCCAGCTCCCACTCGCTTCCTTCCTCAGGTCCCAGGAATCCAGTCCCCTCAACTCTTCCTCCTTCAAATGCAGGATTCTAGCTTCCAACTGCCTCCTTCCTCAGACCCAGGAGTCTGGACCCAGCCCTTTGCCCTTCCTCATTTAGAGCCCAAGAGTTCAGCCCCCCAGTCCTCCAGGTTCAAAGACCTGAGCAGCACGGCTTGCTGGAGAAGGCTCGGAGGTGCCCATCCATGTCATCACACCAGTGCCCACCCAGCACGTGTGGACATGCCGGCACCCACAGAAGCCCACAACCCAGGTCTCCACAGCTGGGATTCTGTGCTCCCCTCCGTGGGTACTTGGCCTGGGGTGTGAACACACTGGCCTCACAGTCCCCAAAATGAAGCCCACCATGTCCCAGCCTTGCCACATGGGCCGCAACCTCACTGGGCCCAGAAGTGGGTTTAGCCTTGTGCATGGACACAGGCTTATATGTGTGTACTGCTCTGCACATGTATTTTTAAACATACACAGTCCCACTCCCCAGAGACCAACCCTGAAGTGAATGGGCTCACAGCATAGACAGATGCAAACCCTCCAGGTTGACACACCTGCACACAAACACACATGTACAACACTGCCTTTCTTTAGCATAGTCACACCAACACACAGGGCACATGCCTATCACATATACACACTTGCACAAAGATACACAACGCAGGTGCACAAAATGCCCAAACACAGTCAAACAACTTCCCCACAATGCACTATTGCAAAGCTGATGCATACCTACACAAACAGATACACACATGGCCTCACACCTGTACACAGAAATGCAACAGTACACAGACATTCACAAGGCTGACAGACACTCGAACAAGCACACAGGCACAAAAAAGATCCACCTTTGCACACACACTTTGAGATGTTCACTCCTAACACAGGCTCACACAACAGCCCAGACCTCTGCTGGGGATTTACACATAAGATATTGAACCATACAGCAGCATAATCAACACACAGGCACTGATTCACACCAACACATGGTCATGGACACACATCCCTCCCAAGCCCAAAGCACCTGGCCCCACCTACTTCCCAGGCCAAAGAAATCCTGACAGCCCTCCCAGCTCATACTCCCACCCCCACCCAAGCCAGGCCAGAGGTCAGGGTTCAGCAAGTCAACTCTGAGGGTCCTAGAGCACCTTCCAAGCCAAGGAACTCATTCTCCCACCAGCAAGAAGCCCAAGGGTCCCCAGTCTGGCCATCTGGATGCCGGCAACTCCGGCCCCATCTGCGGAGATAAGGCCGGTAGGGATATAGGGGTGGGGTGGGTAGGGAAGAGCCTTGTGTGTGCACCCCCCCCAGGGCCCATCTGTCCATCCCTCGGCCTCTCATCCCTCCATCTGTCCACCTCCCGGCTGCCCATCCCCCCCCACCAGCCATCGGGAAGCTGAAGACATGGCCGTCTCCCCCAAGGACCGCCGAGGGCCCCCCCAGCTGACATGGACCGAGGGAGCGGCGAACTCCCATCCCCCAAACCTACACAGAGGCCTGGAGCCACATCGCGACGAGCCCCAGCCCCCGGCCGGGAACCCGACGTGGACGCAAAGACACACACCCTCGGAGACATACAACCCGTAGACAGAGAGACAGACAGACACACACACAAACGGACACCCCAGCGGGAACAACCGGTTACACAGACCCATGGATGGACATGCAGCCCGGACACAAACACCCAACGCAGCTGGCCGCGCGCACACACTCGCTGGTGGGGGGGCTCACACCTGGGCACACAGCCCACGCACACACACCTGCACACAGCCCCTCCGATGGGCGTGCGACAGCCCCCCAGACACGCAGCCGGAGGGGCAGCCGCTCGGGCGGACACACACGCACGGCCGGACACACAGCGCGGATCGACACCCAGCACACACCCGGATGGCCACACAAGCAG